GCGACAATTCGACTTCACCAACACCACCCGCCTCGACCCCTCCATCCGCCCGGCCAAAAACCCACAAGTAACCGTCAAAGTAGTCAACATGGACACCCTAGAAGCGGCCCTCTCCCTCCCCGAGCGGGACCCACCCCCCCTCCCCAAAGACGGACAGCCAGTCCGGTTCAGGCCATTAATCCTCAACTTTAGCGACGTCGACCACCCCTCTGGGAACGAGAGGCGGGGTAGTAGACACGGGGATTTCTCCCAGAGCGAGAGTCTGTGCTATAGGACTTCTCTCGGGATGAGTCTAGAACGGGGGCGGCACCCGGTGGGAATGAACACCTCTGTGCTCTACAGTCCGTACGTTCAAGTTGTTCGTCGGGACACGTCCGATCGCTTCCTCGATCTGGACCACCCCGAGAATTTGCCCGTGGTGGCGGCCATCACGATGGGGGCGCAGTACCGGCCCGAGACAAAAACCTACATGGTGCCTGCTGAGCTGGGGAGGACGAGGCCGAAGCAGGCTTTTCATCGGTATACTGACAGAGAAAGGCTCAAGATGAGGATGAGGTTGACGCTGAGGGTGGCGGGGATGCACAGGCATACTAGGTTGGTTCTTGGGGCGGTGGGGTGCGGGAGGAGGTACAAGAACCCGGCCGAGGATGTGGCGTTGTGCTGGTTGGAGGTGTTGAGGGAGGATGAGTTTGCGGTGGATTGGTGGACCGATGTGGTGTTTGCCGTGTGGGACCCGCCTGGGGCAGGACCGGATTCGGTGTCCAAGTTTAATCATGAGATTTTTAAACGGGTGCTGGATGGGAAGCACGTGGGGGAGTATTATTGGAGGTTGCATGAGTAGACAGCCTAGGGGTGTGGTGGTAGAGTGAAATGTAGTAGGATCTCTTGGTAAAATCTAGCAAAATCTTGGCATATGCCCCCTTCTTTCCAGACTCCTGTCTCCAACCGGGTATACCCAATAATGATAACACCAATACAGTAGTCGTACATCAATGCCGTGGCTCATGATAGCCAGGCGCGTCAGGAGGCGTGGCAGGATACCCCGTGTTTGCTTCCAGACCCGCCCCATTGTTATATACGAATCTCGGGGACCCTTGAGGATGCGCTGGATCATACAAACTCCCTGGCGTATATGCTGTTGGCATCTGCCCAGGACCCTCTGGAAACGGGATGATCGGACTCGCCACTTGCCCCGGCCTCTGTTCGGGAAATGGGTAAATCATCTCCTGCGGCGTCGCTGTCTTCATCTTTGGTGATGCGTTCAACAATTCCCCCATCTCGTGCCTCTGTGCCAAACTGTCCACCTCCCGCACGCGACTTCGCGAGCTCCGACTTCCTGTCCAATTACTCCCCCCCTGATCATCATCCTTCCCATCATCACCGCGGTAGTCGACTGAACCGTGGAGTTTAACGGCCGTCCATCCATACGGCAACCTCTGCTCAATCGCCTTCTCCATCCCAGAGATAAACAAGTGCCCAAACGTCAGAATCGGCGGCACCCAGGTAAACACAGCCAGATACTGTCCAAAACCCCACTCTTTGACATTCTGACTAAAAGTCTTTCCGTAATTCTCCTTCATCAGCTGCCACGTATTCATAAAATACGCCATGTATACGGCCAGTCCAATCAGGCCGAACACGGTAGGGAAGCTGCCCACCGTCTTCCACAGGATCCTCCAAATCATCTTGTGGTCCTTGGTCGGCCTGAACCTATTCATCCACGGGTGGTGAAACACGGCACCAATCAAGGCCAGAAACCAGCTCCCAAAGCCCACGGGAACAAAGTGGAATTTCTCCATGTCAAAGGGGTCGCCTTTCATAAGACTGACCCTCTGTTTGCCTATGCCGCATGCCATCTCGGCTTCACTCGCCCTCATGTTTGCAACTCCTGCATGGGTGACATACAGGGCGATGGTGAGGACGGCAATGAGAAACACCGACCCGGTGGCGTGCGGCCGTTGCTGGTTGTGACACCAGTACGCCGCGGCGAGCATGATGACAGTGGTGCTGCAGAGCTGGCTTAGCGCGTTGGCCATGAGCGCATCGAAGCGGGTGTCGGTTCGGTACCGAAAGACAAACGTTGAGACTATGACGGCCAGGGCAAAGACGAACACGGCCGAGAAGAGCTCGTCGACGGTGCCGATGCAGGAGACGCGGAGGGAGAAGCGGGTTTTGCGGGTGGTGTAAGGGGCGCGGGCAACGACGTCGATCAAAGGGCCGAAGGATAAGAGGGAGAAGGCAACGGTGAGGCAGAGGAGCATTCCTATGGCTACTATCATCTGTGGTGATGTCAGTCAGGGTGCTAAGCGATGATGTTGGGCAAGGAACATACCCCTATCCCGACAATATCTGGGTTGCCGACAGTGACTTTTCCTGAGCGGCAGTACTCTCCTCCACACATGTTGACCACAGCGCCCAAGAACCGCTTGGTGTCAGCTGGGTGGTTTTCGGTGTTGTCAGTCCACCAGTTAACGACATCTCCGACGCCAGACTCATTCAGAGGATAAGGAAAAAGACCCCTCGCCATATCCCTCAGCTGAGAGACCCCGGGATCAAGCTGGGTTGGATTGACCCCCACGGTGAGGTTCATGTGGATATCAGGGTTGGGTTCGAGCTCCAAAATGGATAAATTGTCAAGCGGAAGGATCAAGGAGGCGGGGCGGCAGCCGAAGCCGTCGCGGGTGGCATTGTTGCCTTTGGCGAGAAGCACATCTGCAAGGTAAGATATGCTGAGGTTGGAGAGGTGGGTAATGCTGGTTGGGTTGTAGAGTGTGGGGTTCTCCATGCCGGTGATGGCGCGAGTTCACCTGTCTGGTGTTGGGTTGGGTTGAGATGAAAGATGCCACACATGAGTACAGCCTGGTGTTTTAGTTGGGAGCTTAGGCTTGGGGAAGCAAAAGACGGTAGCCAAATGTCTCTCCTGGGAGCTGGAAGCTTATCATTTTGACTCGGCGCCGGCCCCAAGCGGGATGGGACCGCAGTAACGACCTCTGTGACGCCACATTCTCTGGGGGCCTGGTTTGCGCGGGATAGAGTATGCTTAATTTGGGAGCGTATGCAGCGCAACAGGTGGGTGCGACGGTTGAAATGCGAGAGTTCGAGGTTGAAGGCATTGACTGGGCTTGCTTCTGGCGCTGTGCCGCAGCAGTCCCGATTTTACCTGGGGCTTGGAGGGGGCTGAGTTTTTTTGAATGCTATCCGGCAACAAGGACAGCCAATCGAGACTTGTGAAACACTGTGTAGGGCTGCGGCTGAGGGAGAGTAGGCTCTGAGGAGGTGAGGTTTATGACGTGACTGATATAATCTTTATTCTCGGTCGTGATATATCAAAATACAAGTAAACAAAGCAGAACAAGACCCATTTCAGCTTGTCTCATGAATGTGTGAGAACCTGGAAGCCTAGAAGAAGATGTGTAGAGCCTTTCTTCAGTGAGGTGGGGCGGATGTGAGATCTGAGCAGCCCTGTGGAACACTGCACGGATCACCCACATGCACGTGGTTTGGCGAATGGTGCATTGGTTATCTTATCTTTCTTTTCCGTGTCCCGTCCTCCTTTCTTCCGTGAAATAATTGCATCTCTCTTCCTCATCATTGCTGTTCCAGACTGCCCGCCAAGAATACCATGTCGATGTCCTTGCATGATTGCAACCGGTGCAAAGCGGAGCACCCGCGGGTCCCATCCCCATTGTTCTCCGCAGATCGTCGGCCCGACCGCCAAGCTTTTTGATGCAATCACGGGACACCAGACAACCTGTGGCCTGTCTGAGCAACGCAAACCGGGCCATATCAACACTTGACTAACTCGGGAGAATTCGGCAATGAGAGGAGGCTACCTTACTCGACTACGACGAATTCGCTTTATCGCCTTCCCTACGGTCTACCATTACCCTGCCCTGCTCTGCTGTGGCCTGCTGTTTTGACGTTGCGTCACCTTCTCTCCCTCTTGCGGTCCCGGTTGCCGCTTTAGCTCGGCATCGTCGCTTTTCATTTTTCACCCACAATCGAACCAGACGAAACCAAACACGCCCAGTTCCCGGATCACCACCTCTCCATCTGCCATCCGCCATCCGCCAGAGATAACAATGGCATCACCACAACCCACCAACATGCATGATCAGCCACTGCCGGGCACGCAAAACGGCCCGTATAAATATCTGCGCCTGTACATGGATGCCATGGTCCCCAGCGTCCCGGCTTGGCGATTTACCCGCTTCCCAGAGCTCCCGGACGAGCTCCAAGTTATGGTCTGGGAGATGGCGATGGAACTTGAGGTCAATGAGGTCCCTCGCATCATCCCGGTCTCCACCTTCCTACCACCGGCCCGAGAAATCCATTCGGCTCGTGTCTTGGCCCAGACATGCGTCAAGAGTCGTGAGGTCGCTCTCAGATGTCTGGCCGACTGCAGGGTCCACGAGGAGAACCACCAGTTTTACGCGGATACTCCCCAGGAGCTTCACTTTCTTCCCACTGAACGAGACACCCGGAACCGTCGGGCGTTCCCATGGCGGTCAAGTCGCTCTGCTGATGAACGCTTCAAGAGCCCCCTCCACAACCATGTTCACATTGATCGCGACTACCTTCTCTTTACCGGCCATGCCATCGGGGTGCTGCGTATGAGCTCGGTCGATGCTCAGTCATATGTCCACGGAGTTCGAAAGGTCATGGTCCCGGCAACTATCCTCTGCTCACGCTTCAATCGGCCAATGTTTGAAAACCTTAGCATGAGCAACAATTTGTTGAAAACGGTCGAGGAGGTCGTCCTCCTTCTTCCCATCAGCATGAAGGTCTTCGCTCTCCCGGCCCTGTGCAAGCCAGGTCGCTGCCCCAGCCTGTCAACCAGCGGCTTCTTGGGCCGTGTCGCCAAAGACGTTGCGCACCATGAAAACCAGCGCTGGGCCCAAGCCTCTGAGGTGCCCTACAACTTGATTCGCTTCTGGACCGACGAGGAGATGGAGGCGTTTGCCGCCTCGTGCTCGGACCGCGAGAAATATCAGCCATGGAACCACGATAGTTCAACCACCCACACCAGCCACACCCCCAACACTGCCGCCCCTCCAGTTCCTCCACATCCGGCTGGCAACCAAAATGATGGCCACGCCCAAAGTTTGACACACGTCGAGGGTCTCCTTCAACAAACCAGTCTCAATTCTGGGACTTTGGCGAATGCGTCAGCTTCGAGCCTAGACAGTCCCGCCCCTTCCGTCTCGGGGGCCGACACACCCGAGTCTCTCGATGACGGTGTCGCCGTTTTCCGCGGTCTGCAAGAAACCAACAGCTTTCTCTATGGGATATTTCAGTGCTGGAAAGCCTTGCAAGTCGCCACAGAGCAAGACGAAAAGAAAAGGAAGCCTGTGCTCAGGTTCGCACATGTCAAGGGGACAGAGACGGACGATGAGCTGGGGGCAGTTTTGGCTCGGTTCAACGGCAGGCGCGAGAAGAAGTTTGGGCTCGATTGGCGGGACTACATCCCGGCTCGGTCGGCTGAGGAGATTCGATCGGATGTTTTGCGGGGGGAGTCGCCGCTCACTAATGTCAAGATGAGCCAGCGGTATTCGGATACGGGGGAGGCTGAGGTGGAGACGTTGTCGAATAATACGGGCGTGGGGGCTGCGGGGGCTGAGACGACGATATCTGAGCCTTGGCCGACAGCATCCGGAGACCAGCAGTGGACATCCGCTGAGGATGTTTGGCTTGATGGATGGTGAAGCTTCTTGGGCAAATAGAGAAAGAATCCGGCGAGTGTACGATTATTGCTGTTTTTTTTGTGGCCACGATACTGGCCTGGGATGGTTATTGAGATTGGGGGTTGAGGGAAGGCGGAATTTTGTAGCTTATTGTTGAAGTAAACCTTGTCAGGATTAGCTACCTGCATGATGTATTGTGGTAGATGGCACTCATCAAGCCAATCAAGAATAAGAGTGAAAGAGTCTTGAGTTTATTTCCTCTTTTGTCTCATTTTAATGTCCCGTGTTTACCGTACGTGAGAGAGAAAGAAAAAGAGCTTAACAAATTACTGGATACAAAAGGTCTCCAATGGGGTGTTGGAGCAGCTCTTTGCAAACGTACGACATCGATGTCCCATCTCTTTGAGCTGATCCTGCAGGTGGTTGAGAGCCTCCCCGGCCATGATGCCGTCGACAAAACACTCGCCAACGAGAGCATACACGTTGGCGGAGTTGTTCTGTTCTGATGATGGGAGCCTTCGTAGGATATGGGGCACTGGTGCTCCAAGCAGCACGGCGACGGTGTCACCTTGGAGAAGATCAGGGGGGCCCAGTCCGAGCGCACCGCTCTGGGTGAGGAAGAGCTTGCGTTCGTAACAGAATTTTAGGGTGTCGCTGGTGGGTTCACCGCGGTTGTTTCTTGCATGAAGTTCAGCTGGCTCGAGCTGCAGGGTGGGAGTGGAGAGGGCTTGTATTGTTGTCCATAGTGAATAGGCGAGTTTTGGAGGTTGTGGTGGGCTGCGGGAGTATGAGGATACGCCGCGGAGGTTTTGGTTGAATTGGCCAATCAGATAATCGGCGGTTTCCGACACGACAGAGCTTGAAGATCCGCTTATGAGGTCTAGCCAATCTGTTAGTACTTCGACGTTGTTGGTGGCTGCGTCCTGGCCGGGACGCATGGTGGAAAGAGTCAACTTCTTGACCGTGTCAAAGGTAATGCCGAGGCAGTGTAGCGTTGGTGGCCCGTTTGGGGGGATGCTGATGTTTACTCGACAGGCTGGCTTTCCTCCGGCGTCGAAGGGGTCGAGGTATTTGTTGGCTAGCCCTAGTGATACGGCGGAGGGGACGGTACCCCAGTCTGGCACCCAGGACGGCAGCCTTTCCCGTTCGACGTAGGGCTTTTCTTCTTTTCCGGACAGGATGGCCAATGATTTGGTCCGTTCGATGATTGATTTGGCGACCGAGGTGTACACCTCGGCCGTTGACAAACTGTAATCCACGAGAACCCCAATCCTGTCTTCGGGCTGCAGTAACGCCAAGAGAGCGTATATCTTGTCAAGAGCCAGAGTGGCCTTGCTATGTCGGGTATCGTGAAGCTGCTGTAAAAGCGTAAGTCGCTTCATGACACTGAGTCCGTATGACAAGACAGGCGGCGGGTTGACCTCGGGCCCGAGTAGCAACTCGTTTCGTGTCCACCATTCGCGAAAACAAGCCCACGGCACGCATTTGGCGCCACAAATGACCAGTGATGTATGGGCAAGAGCAACCTCTTGAAGAATCCAGACCCTGCTAAACCAGGGACGTGACAAGACCTGGACCACAAACTGACGAGGCCATTCCTCCTGCTGTGCGCATCGCTCAGAGATGTAGTCCATTGCTTTGTCACTTGTGTCGTCGGCCTCCCCGAGATAGACCAGGACTTGGCTCGCAGTTCCGTAGATTTCGCCCATGAGCATGACTTGGGAGGACTTCTCCTTGTCGTCTTGCTGGTTGATGCATATCTGATCGATCCAGAGAAGCCTGGAACGCGTGTCATGTCACATCAGCCTTGGTTTCCAGCATAAATAGAGGTACACCTACCTACCTGATATGATCAACAAATCGAAACCGTCTCAAGGCCAACAGAGCACTTTCACTAACAGACATGGACAGACCATCACACGCTATTTCGTACTGCTGGTATGAAGTCCCCCAGACATACGAGACGGCCTCATAATACGGTATTTTGCCTGGATCCAGTGGAACTGTTACAAGCTCCACAACGACAGGCGAGCTTGGGTATCCTGGAAGAAGTCGAATTAAACGTATCGAAGATTTTTCGGCGTCCTTTGGAAAGGGAGAATACTGGTAGGTATTTGTAGAGGATCGCGGTAGAATGTCTGAGACTTCGCCTGGAGAACCCGTCCTCGTAATTTGAGCCATCTTTGTGGTTGTATTGGCAGGAGATGTTTGATGTCAACGTGGAGCAATGGCCGCGTTGTGTTTGACAAAGCGATAATAAGTGTTGGGTTGAGAAGAGTTGCTTTCTGGGGCAGCAGAGAGATCCATCAGTGACATGAATGGAGAGCAGCCCAACGGGGCTGTGCCTCAAATGATTGGTGGTATCTGGCAGCATTGCGGGCTGGGTGGCTGAGCAAACAGCCTATCAACAGTACCTGCTTGGCAATTGCCCAAACGGTAACCTTGAATGCATGCTGTCATAAGATTTCTTTACGCTTTAAAAGATCACTCCGACAATGTCATTCTGTTGATGTTACACGAACCCTACCCAGGTAAGCTCAAACACAATGAACCAAGCCAACACACCCATATCAAGACATCCACCAGCCAACCGACAAGACAACCGTTCAACTCCCCTTCTTCACACCGTCAGGTTGAACCAACCCCGCCCCAACCTGCTCCCCCCCCTCCTCACCACCAGCAGGCGAGCTCTCCTCAGTCGACGTCCCCCCAAAAAACCCCACCCCCTCCCTCACACCCTCACTCCCCCCCACCTCATCCATACTATCCATATCCCTCTCCCCCGGCCCCAACCCCACAGCCCCCAACCCCGTTCTGGCCCCCATGATGAGAAACCCTTATCCCCCTCGCCCCCGCATGAGGCAGAATCTCCACCCCCTTGAAAACCAACGCCATCCTCGCCTCGTTCCTCTCCTTCCTCAACCTACCCTCGTTCATCTTGCCCATCGCCCTCTCTTTTTTCAGACTTTCCAGCTGCCCCTTGAGTTGCTTCCTCTCCGTGTGAGCCTCGTCTCTTTCCACCCGGAGTCGTTTTTCCACTTGGCGGGCTGTGTACAGCTCGTTTCTGGCGGTGGAGAGCTGCATGCGGGCCTGGTCGCGCTCGCGCGTGATTTTGGAGAGGGAGGCCTGGAGGGTGGAGATGAGGGTGCGGGCTGTTTCTAGTTGGGTGTTGAGGGTGTCTGCTGTCATGGATGATGGCTGAGGTTCGGTTGAGGAGGGAAAGGGTGGGATGCCGAGGGCTTCGACTAGGTCGAGGTCGAGATCGAGGTCCATGTCGCCTGAAAAGGGTTGGATACCACCGGCGTCGGTCATGGTGGTGTTTTCGAAGTCTTGGAGGGAGAGGTAGGCCTGGTCTGTCGGCGGGAGGGAGACTGCTGCTGCTGCTGATTTTGGAATCCCTCCGATGGGTGATACCGGGATTTGAAAGTCATGATGTTGTTGGGGGTGGTGAACTGGTCTGGTGGGAAAGGTGAGGTCCTCGGGCGTGGACCGGGCAAGCTGGTCGGCGAGGTGCTGGTTGTGGTGGTGGTGGTGCTGTTGCTGCTGCTGCTGGGCGAGTAGGGCCAGTTCCAGGTCGGACCCTGCCCAAGCGAACGGGTCCTCGTAGGGCCCGCTGTCATAGATCCCGACCATCTGGGCCGCACGCCGTTATCTTGAGTGCTGAGTGGTTGCTGTTGTCGTGATTGTGGAGCGTTGTATTTAGGCTGTGAGCCGGAAACCACGCGAAGCTGGGCCGCCACGTGCGGATCTTGGGCTCGGATGGGACCGAGAAGTGCGGGAAGCTCCACTCTTGAAAGGTGAGTGCCGGTTGATCAGAAGTTTAAAAATCCGGGGTTGTGATGGTTGATGTCTGGTGTTTTGGAGGAGATGCGAACAGTTCAAAAAGGTTGCCGTGGTGGTTGCTGAAAGTGGAGACAGGGGGCAAAATTCAGGGGCTCTGTTAGCTAACAGCTGCGGAAGCGGTGAAGGCCAAATCAACACCACTGGTCAGGCAAGTATGGTGAATCAAAACGGCTGCCAAGGTGAACTGTTTGCGAGGCGAGAAGTCATCAAATGCGGCAACGAGGATGGCGTACCCGGAAGTCGATCTCGAGTCGCCAAAGTCGAGTGGATGCAAGAAGATGGAAACTGAACACGCTTCTTGGAGAGGGGCTTCTTTCCAGAAGCGCGAAAATACAAATTTCGCTCATGTGATCTCGGAACAAGCCTCCGCAGTGCTCGACTCGACAGATTCTAGCCAAGATGGCCTACCCCAGGATGCCTCGTCTGCTGCAACCTCTTGGCAACCGGAGGTGTGGAGATGGGGCTACCGGGACTCCGCAGATCCTCAAAGAGGAAGTCATGTTGGTGATCGTGGGTATCACAGCATCATTGAGTCCAGAGTCGAGGCTTTCTCAAAATGATAAAGATATCCGGCTCCCGCATCCTGCTGGCTGCCCACCTCAAAGATATCAAGTCCTAAACTTTGTCGTCAAGAGGCAAAGACTGCAGTTGCCTTATCCCCGAGAACCGCGGGCGGGCAAGCGGATGTCAGAGATTAAGTAAGACATTGGGCTTTGGATCCCTGATCCTAGCCATGGAGAACACGACAACTGCATGGCTCGACAACCGTTGCAGGACGGTGATCGGAGCTGCTATAAAGGGACAAGCTTGCGAACTTTGAAGTTTTGTGATGGTTCAATGAAGAGCGGGGAAGATCTTATTCAAAGGTGTGGGTGCACAACATCCTGCAATTCAACGCTCCAAGACAGCCACAGCATATCAGGTGACGACGAGAGGCCCATGAAGCGGCCCAACCAAAAAAAATTTGGGAGGACCACTCGCCGGCTTCCAATCACTTCATCTCCTAGCTACCTACTTCGCTGCACGTTTCACAAAGACGAAGCGCTAGACTGTACCTAGGTTGTGAAAAGAGATGGTCAAACTCAACTAGAAAAAGGTAGCAAACTCCAAACTACATAGTTGTACGACAAACTCATATACCTATTTTACAATTCCATGATTGAAATCCTCTCCCGTTGCCCTATCAACCTCATATCCCAACTTGCCTTTTTCTCAGGCTGTTGATATAGCGAGACAAACATAAGAGATGGCCATATGTGATCTAGCCAGGGTGCACCGGTATCTGAGGGTTGCTATATAAAGAGCCGAGTACCAAGACAACAGGCTGGTCGATAACCAAACCGAAACGAAACAAGATATCCTCGATTTAATTAATGACTTGCATTTCTAACTTGTATGAAATACTCCCAACTGTTAGCTTGCAGAATGTACAGTGCAATCCAGCCACCAGAAAGGAAGACACTGACGGGGAAGATAGCAAGAAAAGATAAAATAAATGAATGAGAGAGAGAGATATTGTGACAAGAAAGTCATATTGTATTGAGATAAAATGACCAAAAATGAATGCCCCCACGCGGGATTGAACCGCGGACCTCATCATATCGCAATCACAGATACGAGTGATGCGCTCTACCACTGAGCTATACGGGCTGATCAACTGATAAAATCATAATGCAAACTGTAAACTTATGCCGTCTTCCAACATGTACTGCCAAATTTCCTGCCACCCCTTTTTTTTTTTTTTTTTTCAACCAGCATTCCAGGTTCTCTCCTTTTTGCGCCCGTGGAAATGTTTGCATAGATTTTTGAACGCGTATACCATGTTAAAGAGGCTTTATTAAGCGCTACTTTGGTGTGTCCTATGCATGACCCGCTCGTTTGATCCCAAAGCTGACCACATACCACATTCTCAGATCCCTTTCTTCCCTCTTGATCTCGGCGTATGCGACAAGGTCTTCCAATCCAACAGGTCTCAAGGAAACTTCTTTGCTGTTTGGCTCGATTAGAGCCACACGCGGGCCTTCTTGTCTGAGTTGGTTGTTTGTGAGCTCCAACGACCAAGCTGGTGTAATGGTTGGGATGAGAGAGAGGCCATTATGATAGTTGAAATCAGCACCCAGTATCAGCCGAAGTTGCAAGATTCTTCCCGCTCCAACATCTGCTTCGCCAGAGGAAAAAGGCGAACCAATAGTTGGAAACCTTTTGAGTTTCATCCAAACCTCCATGTCAAGAGCGGCGAGTGATATGACACGCTGGTGGTCGCCTACATTCCTATGTTTGTATAAATGGTTGATGTCGATGAAAATGGAATAGCTCTGCCGGTCGTGTTTCCATTGAGACGTTGATAATGCACTCCTCTGTGATACTACCACTGGCTGGTGATACACGTACCCTATGGAGAGGTTTTCGCAACCTGCAACGATGCGAAAGACGCTTGGTTCGTTCCAGATTGTGAACCAATAGCCTTGAACTCTCCAAGGCTGCGGCTGGGGCCTTTGGGACACGTATAAACTCTTTTTGTAAATGCTCCGTCGTTCAATCAATAGACGGGAATACATTCGAACCGTAGCATGCGTCACCTCGTCAACAACTGTGTCTTCCCAAATCGCGATTCTTCTTGATTTGATGGCCATCGGAACCCCTACGAGAATCCTTGCGTATTCATCATTGACCGTGCCATCGATCTTTCTCACGATTATTGCGGATGGTATCCCGGGTTCAATGTCACAGCTGGGAAGAAGTAAAACGTCACCGACCCCATCTTTGTCCAGATCGACAGCTGGAAGCTCCAGAAACAGGCCGCGGTTGGTGATGCGAGACAAGGTCGAACAGTCATCTTCGTGGGAGTGCTGGGACTGTGATATCCGCCTTGCGTGAGAAAACCAGCTCGGAGACTCTGCCAATAAACCCCGTAGTTCATTGTGCACGACTTTGTGTGGCGGGAGTGTCCATAGAAAGATGGAATGGTCGTCGGTGGAGTTCAAGATCTCCTGCTGCAGACGTAGAAATGCTTTGGTTCCCCCTTCCCCGTACAACAGGGGCATAGCTATACCAAAAATTCCCATGAGGCAATAAGCCAAGTCCTCAGATCGTGTTGTTTCTCGTCTGCTGGCCCAGTACATTCTTTGTGCAACGGAGGCATTCTGCAGCTCGCCTGGTCTCGCAAGCACATCCTCATCAATACCGGTGATCTTGGAAATCAGCGAATAGAGCCCATCCTTCGTGTCGATAAGACGCCAGTTACAATCGTGGAATCGCAGGTTCGGCGGTGCAATGAGCTCTTGCAGTGTCCAACCCCTTGTGAACCATCGGCTGTTGCAGAAACTCTCTTCAAAAGTTTCTACAGGCGGGTCTGGCTCTCGAACACGTTTCTTCGTGACCCAGTAAGAGTGTGTATACGGGTAAACAAAATCTTCCAGAAAGGCAAAGCACATGGCGGAATGTTCGTACCACCGGTACATGGAGTTGATAGCTTCGGAAAGCTCAGCGCTGCTGCTTTTGTCGATACAGCAGGTGTCGATCCAGATGAACTGATAGCCTTCTCTGCGAGCAATCCGGCAACTGGCGGTAATCTTTTGATATCCTGCCATGCTAGCCACATCCGGATTGCAGTGGATGTCCTGGAATGTGACTTCCTCCTTGCCCCAGGTGTGGGACAAAATCGCGTATGTGGGAACATCCTTTCCGACCTCGTTGAAGGAGTAGAGCTTAAGCTCCGTCGTGTGTAGAAGCCTCATCTTCGAGTCTTTGCTGGGTTGTGCGGTAATGGGTACCTAGGAAAGGTGGAATTTTTGTAGAAGGGAACTCGGAAGACATGATGAGAGGGAGTTCCCCGCAACTCACACAGAGAGCTGGAGGTCAGGCAGACACAGTACTTGTGCACAGCCTCACAGGTTAACCCCGCTCGTATGCAAATGCAAAGCCTATGGAAGAAATTATTCCAAACTACTCCCATTTGCTAACTAAATCTTGCATACAAAATGACCGATCCTCCGCTTGTACCTCACATCTCCGTCTTGATCGAAAACTGAGCCCGCCTATCCCCAATCGAAATGGAAATATCAATCTGTATCTGAGTTGCAGCAAGCACAGACGGAACACCAGACAGCGAGTCCAAATTCACCCCCAACTCGCCACCAGACAAGTCATCTCACTCCCACTTATCCGAGTTAAAGCTGATCTTGTTGTTGGTGCCAGTGACAGCGTAGATGACGTTCCTCTTGTCAAGGGGAGAAGCCAAAGCAGACAGGCCAGACTTCTTGTTGATGATCAAGCCCTTGACGTCCTTGACGTCCTTTTGGAAGGTGACGGTGCTGTCCTGGTTGCACTTGGCCCAGCTGCGGTGGAGCTTGTTGTACTGGTCGGTGAAGTAGACGCAGACGCGGTCGCTGTTGTCGGCGCGGCAGGCGGCGATACGGGCGATGCGGCCGTTGATCTTGTCGCTGCTACCGGGGATGATGTTGCCTTGGGTAGGTAAAATTAGCATTGGTTTCCAAGGCCTAGCGAATCAAGAACGGCACATACCCTGGGTGGTTCCGGTGAGGGCAACAGCCTTGATGAAGTCGCGGTCCTCGCCAGAGTTGTCATCCTCGGCAGTGTTCTGGTAGACAACCCAGAAGTCCTCACCATCGTAGAAGGCAGCAAGGTGGGTGCCCTCCTTGGAGTCCTTGGTGCCCTCGACCCAGACGGCACCGTCATCTCTGGACTGGAGATCCCGAGCCTTGAGCTGGAAGTAGGTGCCATCGGGGCCACTGCGCTTTCTATCCGAGTGCAACCATGTCAGCATGATTCCCATTCTACTCTCAGCCTTCCGGACTACCAAAGAACACTTACTCCTGCCAGAAGAGCCTGCCCGCCTTGTTGCCATCACCGGCCGCAGCGATAGACTTGTAAGGGATGGTGGCGTTGGCAAGGGGCATCACGATAGGGCTGAGCAGCCAAACGGAGCTGTCTCCCTCGAAGACGCCATAAGTGCGGACCTTTCATTGTCAGCTACATCAGTCATTTCTCGTCACTCCTGAAACCGAGACTTACAACGTCATCCAAGACCACAGTGGCCAAGCTGGAACCGAACTTGAGAGTAGGAACCATCTTGGAGGGGTTGACATAGTAGCCAATGACACCATCCTCGTTCTGCTTGCTGAGATCACCATGGTCGCCGTTGAACTGGACCTGGTCAAAGCCCAGGGTGCCGTTGGGAAGGGACTGGAACAGGATGACCTGCTGGTCAACGCTGTCTCCACGGTCGACAGTGTCGGGGTTGACGACGGCAGCGATGGCCTGCATGTCGGTGTACTTGGGCGGCTGGGCCGGGGTGGGGAAGGATCCGTGGCAGGTGCAGGAAGACATGTTGATGGTTTGAAGATGGAATAAGTGATAAGCGGTGGGTTCTTGAATTAAAACTGAAGGTAAGGTGCTTCGAGCTGATCTGTCTGTTGTGAAGAAGTCGAGTCTTTGAGCGAACGAGGCCTCCTCTTTATACTTTGTTCTCTCACCGTGTCTACCATATTGTTCAACTTGTGGCCAGTAGATGGACCACTGCTTCAGTTCCCATGTCTTTGTCCCGGTTTCAGCTCTGCTTGAGGCGCCTCAATGCTGCTCTTCTTTCCTAATCCAGCATCCTCCGTATGTCGTGAGCAGTTTTGAAGAAAGCCAAAAGCACTTCTGATGTGGCGTTGGAGCATAATCTAGGGATGTACACAGGGTCTAGAACATCCGGAAGGAAGGATGAGCTTCCAGTGACGAAACGATCAGCCTGTCTGGTTGGTTGCGGCTTTTTTGGACATAGCTGGCACACATCTTTGGCTACTTCATACCTTGTAGAGAGCATGATTATTTGAAAAGAACAACAGCATGAGACAATCATTGACATATTCCCTGTTGCGCCATCTCCCATAATCATAAAAGAACTCTCTGTACTGTAAGGACACTCTGCTAATTAGGGAATGTCATTGCTGACAGGCATCTGGGTGCGAGCGTGAAGACGATGACCTTGCTATAGGTATCCAAAAGGCAGATGTGATAGTGGTGAAAACTTTCCAATGATTGGACACCGAACCCGGGCCTGCAGAACGTGGCGTGGTCCGGCCGGCGGCCGGCTCTCCAGAAACTCGGGGGTTGGCATCCGGAGGCGCACATGGCACGAAAACACATTCCGGGAAAGACAGCCAATGACGCAGAGACAGCCAGCCACATCAACAGCAGTTCCAAACCTCTAGTCCCTTCCAAGAAGTGAAAGAGGGTAAATATCTACTTCTCACAGATGGTCACAGGCGTCGGCCACTGTGCCAAACACGCCTCCGGATACTCGCATCCTCTAGTATAGTGCTGCAGGAGGAATTGACTGGTTGTCAACTGTGAAGAGACGTTTGAGCCCGCAGATTCAGCACGCATCGGAGCCGGCCAGTGTCCTGATCAAGGAGTACAGAGTGAACATCAAAGTCTGTTCGCGGCGATAAAGCGGTCTGGATGATGTTGCTACCCGTGATGCAGAATCTCAGCTGCCATCCAGGCGCCAAAGTGTTTGTCGGTTCCCGCTTGGACGTCAGGTGGGCATCTTGGACAATTTGAAAGTGAATCGAACAGAGCTGAAGGCTCTTCTTGAACCTGACGGTGCGTATGCTCAGGGTTACACCCCCCAAGCTATACCTCGACGTCGAGGGCCGTTCTTCATTCCCGATAGACAAATCGACCAAATGTATTGGAAATAGTCCAGGCTGTGGCATAGGTATCCAACATTCCAACATCTCTACCCACTAACTGTATCGTTCTTCAGCTTTCGGCACCCATTTGGGATCTCTGGTTCTAACCCCATCTCCAAACCTCAACCTCACCCCATCCTGGCTGCCATACCCGCTATCATCATGGACCTCGACCCACGCCACTTCGCCCAGATTACGAACCGACGCAATACCCGCCCCAATATTGTCAAGACATGCCTCCTCCTCACATGGCGGGGGTGACCTCTGCGCAAGCCCGATCATCTCAGGGATGGAATCCCAAGCCTCTGACGTCTCTGCATGCCACACTACCCAGACGGTGTGAATTAGAGCCGCGAGTGCATGCACCATCATGGCCGCCACGCAGAGATAGTCGAACCAATTGTCAGCCGCCATCATGTACCCCGTAAATGTCACCCGCATCACCATACGAGTGGACCTCTCAAGGTCAAGACTAGCCGGAGGAGCAAACACTTCAATTGGCTCTCCCAACTTGAACAGTCTCCAGACATCGTCTGGCTTATCGTTGTTGATTTCCCATCTGGTTCCCTTCTCCAACGCCCCCTTTTCCCATGTACCTCCTAGTAACATGCCGCTGTTAGGGTTCAGTGCAATGCCGCAACGAGACAGCCCGTCGACAAAAGTCATTGATATCACCAACTCCAGTCCTTCCGTGTCTATGCCAACAACATCATTCTGTGGGCTCCAGTTATGTGCCGGGATTGTTTCGAGAAGGGCCTCTAGAGTTGATCGGTTGGTCCCTCGGAGCGGTGAATCGGGGTGATCGGGGATGAAACCTGCCGGTATCACTGGAGAGAGGTGATCGTACCAGCTCAGATGAAGAGCTATGGGGGTTATCGTGTGGTCGTTGGGAGGATTGTAGTAAGGAGAGAGCATGTTGTCCCCATTGGTCGTTTCCAAGGTTGTCTGCACCAGATTACTGACTTTGCCGCGATGAAAGTCGTGAAAGCGCATTGATCGATCACCAAACTCAAAGAACGAACGGGCGTCTCCCCAGCGAGCATCCAGTGTACACGTCGCGGGCCACCACACGTTACTCTCCCCCTGGCGTCTCGCGACTAGTAGGCCAAACTTGAAGTTTTCGTCTTGATCCAAGGGCACCGGGATTGCAATGATAGAGGGAATTGTGTTTGGCTCCGGGTTCAACCGCCATGTTCCGTCCCCCTCCTGTATCAGAATCCTACGGCGCCCAAGATACTCCCTCACAGGCTTCTCAACATCAACTTCCCAGTAACCATCCGCTTTATCCCCAAACTTCTCCTCCAACTTCACCGGCGGAAACATCAAGGTTTTGACGGTCTCAAACGACACATCAGGGAGCGGTCGACACACTGTCCGCGTCAAGGAAGACTTTGTCTCTACTTCATACCGCTTGCTGACCGCCCGCTCCAACGAACCTGGCCTGTGACGCCCAAAATGTCCAACCCGGTATTTCAAAAACAATAATGCCTTCATGTGTAAGTCTCGCAGAGCATCTTGCACGGCAGCTGTGGACGCGTGGGCGGTGTAGAACCAAGTATCGATGACTCCGGGCCCTTGCCGGACAGTGAAATAGACGGCCTTTCGTATTTTGGGATCAACCATTTCCAGCTGTATGAGCTCGGTTTCGAACTTGAGGGGTGCGTTGGAATAGTGTTGATGCAGAGGCAGAAAGTTGGAAGAAGGGCACGCGGGGTCGTATAGCTGCTTGTCTGGAGTGGAGCAGTCATAGTCGGCGAGGTATGAGCCGTCGAGGATGCTAGGCCAGAGGTCGTTTTCGGTTCCTTTGAACATTTCATGTCAGCATTGTGACACCAAATTACCAGGAGAGATATGAATACCATTTAACCAAAACACACTTCCGCCAACCGGCAGGTCCATGATTCTCGGTATCATGATGATAGCTGCCGCAGGGCCAGCCATTAAGGCGAGGATCCCACTCAGTAGTAACAGCAGCACCAAAGCCAGGCTTCTGAGGCGACCAGAAGGTGGCTGAAACAGAGACAAGACGCCACTCCAAAACTCCCCGGAGTAGAAATAACTAAGCTGGCTGAATGACCAGCCAGAGACAAGCAACCCGAGAGGAATTCCATCGTTGGAAAAAAGTCTTTGACGAATTATGTGGAAGATAATTGTACCCATACTTCCTACCACCAGCAGCTCCTGGCCAGGTATCAGCACTCAGCATGTGAGACGTTAACTACAGTATCGTGAACTTCACGCACCTGTAGCTTGGCCGCAACCTGCAAAAGCGCCATCTTAAGGCTGTCTTTTCCTTGCGGTCCTTCAAGTTCGCTCCCGATGAACCGCCCAGAAAGATTGATGTATATCAAAATGGTGGATATCGTGGCGGGAAGAATGTGCACAGCGCTTCGAGCCAAAGCAACTCGTCTCGACTTTCGAATGAGCAACTTGGGTGGCTCAGGGCGCTGGACGAGCTTGGTGAAGATGCCCAAGCCGACGGCGCGGAGAAAGTTCTGGGGCAGGCCGATAAAGCCTGGCTTGGACTCGAGATATGTCGCCATGTTGGGTGGTTATCGCTCATCCCAAAGCAAAGAAAAGAGTAAAAGGGAGAAACAGGACAGAAGCCAGAGTCAGTAGCAGTTAAGGTCTCATGTTCAAGGTCCGACATGCCGAAAGATGCATTCCGACCTAACCTTGTTGACATTTCGTCCGGTGAGGACGGAGTGACTGCGATCTCGTTCGAGCTGCAGCTGTAGGATTCCCCTGTGACTGTATTTAGTTGTGAGGCTTTAATGCCAAGTCCCACATCAACACTGCCAACCACTCAAAGCTCACTATTCATCCGAGACACGGACGAGCCATCAGGCAAACAAACTAACCGCATAAATACGTTTCAGAAACTACACCTGAGCTGAACAGACACTCCGGCAGGCAAACATGACGTGTGTAACCCCACCCCAGCTCAAGCCTTTCCCCTGAAAAAAGCCCCCAACCCTCCCATCAACCCCGCCACCCCTCTGTTATCCATCCCCTCCCCTTTCATCCCATTCCTAATCCACCCCGGTAACTTGCCCCTCACCCTTTCCATCCCATATCTCCGATCAACAAGCACAATCCCGCTCCAATCCCCCCTATGCCTCACAGCTCGTCCAATACTCTGATTCACCGCCCTCATGGCCGCATTTTCGTAAAATCCCCTGGCTTCCACCTTTGCCTCTTCCTTACTTCCTCCTCTAGCAACACACGCGCTCTCCAAATACTCAATCCTAGCCTTCCACTCGGGCGAGTGTAAATTCGGATACGGCAACCCAACAATCAACACCAACCGACACAGCGCATCAGAGAAATTGATCCCCTCTGATAACCTCCCACCAATAACGGAAAACAGCACCGCCCCTCTGTGCGGTCTATCCGGGGCATCGATAGCGGTAGAATACCGACCCAAAATATCATCCGTCGAAGAAGCACCCCCACCCGTCGACGACGACACATCCCGAAAAAGCGGTTTCTTCGCCTCCAACCTCTCCCAAATCGACTTCCCCCCCCCCTCACCCTCCCCCGGCTGCCGGACCCCCTCCCCCTTCATGTCAAACCCAAAACAAGGAAAGAAAACCCCCCCCCCATTCCCGGCCCCTAAAAAACAAATAACCAAGGTCAACAACCCCCAGGTCTTGGATTCTGGTCTTGACACAACCTCCTCCCAAAATCAAACCTAAAA